AAAAAAAAAAAAAAAAAAAGTGGCTGAGATTTTGGTAGGGATCATGCTGAATCTTATAGACCAGTTTAGGAAGTACTGCCATCTTAACAAGATGAAGTCTTCCAACCCATGAACATAGGATGTCTTTCCATTTACTTAGGTCCTCTTTAGTTTCTCTCAATTATTCTTTAGTTTCTCTAGTTTTTAATGTACGAGGTTCATACTCTGTTAATGAAGTTGATTCCTAAGGGTTTTATTTTTCTTTTTTTTTTTTTTTTTTCAACGTTTATTTATTTTTGGGACAGAGAGAGACAGAGCATGAACGGGGGAGGGGCAGAGAGAGAGGGAGACACAGAATCGGAAACAGGCTCCAGGCTCTGAGCCATCAGCCCAGAGCCTGACGTGGGGCTCGAACTCACGGACCGCGAGATCGTGACCTGGCTGAAGTCGGACGCTTAACCGACTGCGCCACCCAGGCGCCCCTTATTTTTCGATGCTCTTGTAAATTGTTTTCTTCACATCACCTTCAGGCTGTTCATTGCCGCTGTATAGAAACACAACTGATTTTTGTCTATTGTTCTTTTAAACTATCATTTTAAAGAACTTTGCTCCTTTAGCTTTTTTAGCTTAGTCCTTTAATGTTTAGTGCAGGTTAACATCCCCCTGTGGGTATGCACTCTTTGTGTTTGCTCATCCATGAGTTTTCTGTTCCTGTTTTCACAATGAGTAACCGAGAGCCCCATAGCCATGAAACTAACTTTAATAGCGAACACTTTACAGTGCTTACTGTATGTCAGGGTCTTCATAGTTAATACTCCGATCTTCATAACAATCCTATGAGGCAGGTTATTGCCATTCCTCTTTCACGGATTAAGAAACTGAGACACCAAGAGTTTAAGCAATGGGCCCAGGTCATGGATCTAGCAAGTGGCAGAGCTGGGATTTGAACCCAAAGACTGTGCCCTTAAAAACCTAACATATAAAGCCAACATTTCACTTTAAAAACAACATTTTAACTTTCCCTGTAGGCCTTGCTAAGCACCCGGGGGTCTTGATCTTATTCTGTGAAAATGTTGAATACATTTTGGGACTGCTATGACCCATGTGCTTGTTGTATTTGGCGCTGTTTCCTCCCTCCTCGATTTGAGGTTTATCTTTTCGGGTCTATGGACTTGTGGGCTTCAACACACTTGGCTCTGTTCACAGGACTGTGAACACTCGCCTGCTCATAGCTGGGAGTAGGGGGTGGGTAGTAATCAGGCTGTGCTGAGAAGATCCTGATGTCCCCACAGGGCTGGGGTTTCCTGGATAAGATGGGGCAGATGAGCCTGGAGGATATGCTGGCCATATTAAGACCCCACTTGACCATTCTGGTGAGTCAACAAGGGAGGAAGACGTAGTCCAGTGGGTATCCTATCCAGAATAGTAGGGCACCCTCTTCCTCCTACCCTTCAACCCCCACAGCTACCCACACACCACCAAACCCCTTGGTCCAACTGCTGACTTTTAGTTCCACCTAGAAATCCCCTTGGACATGAATCAGTATGGTTCCCAAAGGAAGATCATCATCATCATTTTCATCATTTCATCATTTTCATCATATGCCCCTTAATGAGCCCATATTATGTGCCAGAGACTATGCTGTGCTGTGTTGAGCACTAGGACAGGGATTCATTTTCTTCAATTCTTACTATATCCCTGTGAAATAGACACTTTCATTTTCCCCATTTTACAGATGGGTCAAGGTCTCATGATAAGTAAAGGGCAGAGGCAGAGCTTGAGCCAGCTTTGTCTGACCTCACAGCTTCAGCTGTTAAGATCATCCTGTCAGATGTGGAGCAAGCTGGATCTGGAGTCCAATCCAAGCCCTGGCTACCTATCCTCAGTGAGCCTAATCCCTTTGAGCCCATTTCCTCCCCTGTAAATGGGGATATACCTCCCATATGAGGAAACTGGATGCTGTATTTGAAAACTCTACTAGGGAGCTGGTATTGAAAGATGCTCAATCTATGCATATTTCCCTCCCTTCTTTGGACCCCCCCCCAGAGCCCTCTCCATTCATACAACCTCACCACTATTCTCTGGAGCTCTGTGGAGCCCCCATGATTTGTTCTTTTACCAACTTCCTGGTTAACTTCAACCAGGCAACTGCTCAAGATCAGAACCCTTAGCTGGGAACTTCACATAGGCTGCCAAACAACACTGCCAGGCAGGAACTGACTTTCTGGGAGGCTCAGCAACCTATCTGAGATCACACAGCAAAGCAGCAATCGCAGAGCTAGGATTTGACTCCAGGTCTGACCTTACCCTGCCTAGACATTATCTAGAACCCCCAAGGGAGGCAAGGGCTGGGCCCTGGCACACGAGCCCTGGAATATGAAGAGGCTGTGCTGGAGGGTGTGAGGCTTCTTTGGAGGGTCTGCTGGGCTGTGGGACCTGAGCATGCCTAAGCCTGGCTTCCTGCCCCAGGATATACCCCCTGAGGTGATGCCCACCATCATAGATGAATACCTAGGCGGCAGTTTCGACGCAGAAGCCAGACGTAATGCCATCCAGGAACTTTTGGCTGACCTTATCATTATCTTTCCCACCTTGAATTTCTCAAGAAACCTCCGAGGTGAGCCTATCCCTGTTCACCTGCCCTACCCTTCCCATTTTGGCCCAGGAGTTGGGTTATCATAGGCATCATGGCCCCACACCCTGCTGCTACCCCCACACCTCGCTTTCTCTCTGAGATGCAGTGTTAACAGTAATGAGAGGTGACTCTGGCAGGTCACCCTGCAGGAGAGAAAACCAAGGCTCAGAGATGTGCAGTAGAGATTTGAAGGTGATCTGGCTGTGACATCTGTCACCTCATTGATCGTCAGGATTGATTCAGCTGATCTGACTGGCTAGGTGGGTGTCCCCTTCCTCCCTCATCGCTGCATTGTGTCCTTCCCAAAGCTGCACTATCAGTCAAGGACGACCTTCCCCAATAGAGGAAGACCATTCATTCTTCAGTCAAGGGAATATGAGTAGCTGCGCTCTCCTGCTAGAACCTCCAAACAAGCTCTCAGAGAGGCGCAGTGACTTGTCTAAGGTCACCCAGCAGGGCCCATCCCCAATTCTCAGGCATTCATTGATTTTTCCCACATTCAGCACTTCTCCTGGGAGAAAAGTCTTGCTTCCTCCAAGCCTAGTGGCTAGTCCCTGACACAGCCCTAGAATAGCACCAAGTTCCTATCTTTGTGACCTTAGGCAAGATACCTAACCCCTCTGTGCCTCAGTTTCCTCATTTGCAAAATGGCAACAATAATAGACTCTAACCCATAGGTTGTTGTGAGGATGAAATTAATGATTGCACATAAAGCACATGGAATGGTGCACAATGGCCAGCAAGTGCTCAGTAAATGCTTGCTGATAATTATGGTGTCATCATCAGTATTGTTACTGGTGTTGGTGTTATTGGTGTTACTATGAGCCAGTCCTGTTAGAGGTAGGACCTGGTCAGGCTGAGGGTACCTAACTCTGATGCCACCCTCTCTCCGCAGATTCTGGAGCTCCCGTCTTTTTCTATGAGTTCCAGCATCGACCCAGTTCTTTTGCGAAGATCAAACCAGACTGGGTGAGGGCTGACCATGGGGCTGAGATTGCCTTCATATTCGGGGGTCCTTTCCTCATGGATGAGAGCTCTCTGCTGGGTGAGGACAGATAGACATCGATCCCTGGGCTGTAGGCTCCACAGGCTAGGGTGGGGCTTGCAGGCACAGAGGTCTCCAGTCAGCACAGGGAACCCTTGGGTTCTCTCCAAGACCCACCTGACCTTGATCTAGGTCTGTTCCTCCCCTAGCCTTTCCAGAAGCTACACAGGAGGAGAAGCAGCTGAGCCTCACCATGATGGCCCAGTGGACCCAATTTGCCCGGACAGGGTGAGTGAGCAAGTGGGAACACCTGGCTTTGGGCCTCTACTATGCAGATCTTCCCCCAGGGGATAAAGCAGGCGGCCCTGGACTTCATTCATTTTTCCTACCCAGGGACCCCAATGGTGAGGGATTGCCTCCTTGGCCTGCATTCAAGCAGTTGGAGCAATACCTGGAGATCAGCCTGACACCACGAGTTGGCCAGAAGCTAAGAGAAGCCCAAATGCAGTTCTGGGCAGAGATACTTTCTGCCAACTTCCGGCAGTGGCAGCAGAAGCAGAAGGGCAGGAAGGCCCAGGAGGAGCTCTGAGGCAGGGCATGGGCCTTCTTGGCTGGAGGCTAACCCTAGGGGTGGCAGAGTCCCAGCAAAACAGCTTCTTTCTCCCCCTGCTAAGAAACTTTAACTTAAACCAAACTGATGTATGGACATGTCCCTTAAGGAATCAGCCCCTCCGTGACTGGCATTGTGCTGTTGAAATGTCACCTGCTTCCCACTTTAAGGGCCTCTGTACAAACTCCTCCCTCTTCTTTCCCCCTTGCTTCCTAGCTAGTTCCAGCTCTTTCCTTAAGCTCCCTCCTCCATGAAGCTTTCCCTGCCTTCTCTAGGCCCGAGTGTATGTCCGTTACAGCATAGCCCACTCCAGGCTAGCACTGTCTGTATCTGTGTCTCTTTCCCTTCTCTGAGAGTAGAAATCAACCTGACCCCACTCTGTATCTTCCCCACAAGGATCAGGAGGACTTGGAGTCAGGGATGTTTGATGAGCGAGTAAAAGACTGAGTGTGTGAATGGTGGCTGCTGGATGTGAACCCAGGCTCTTCAGCCACCAAAGCTATGCTCAGGCCTACACAGATGTGCCCCTTGGCCAGAAGGGTGAATGGACTCCAAAGGCAGTCCTGGGGTAGGAGGAAGTCCTGAGACCTCAAAGAATTCTCTAGAATGGATCTCAGCCCCCAAAGGCCTCTAACTCAGGCTAAAGGAGATCCTTTTCTCTGTGCTGCCCAGACTTGTTTCCCTGCTCCCCTGCACAAGACACAGCAGAATCCAGCAGGGCCAGAGCCCTGACTCGTAGCCTATGAGACATCAGCTTCCCAGTCCTAGTGCTTCAATGCTTTATGGCCTGCTAGGCTCCTCCCTGCCCTCCCAGCTTGGGGAGACCAACTTCTGGGGGAACTGAGCACAGCTCCACAGCACCTACTAGGACACAGGAGAAGAGATTGGGGAGGGTGTCTGGACTAGTGCATCAGTCAGACTACTGTCACAGAGAAAAGAAGAGGCCTACCCACTCAGGCCACAACAAGTGAAGAGGAGCCAGAGGCTTTTGAGGCAAACATTTCTTCTTTTTGAGAATCAATGCACCACTCCCTTGGGGCATCTGGATTTTACTACATGCCACAAGGACTTTCTTTCCCTGCCCCCACTATCTCATCCTACAGGTCTAATCCCACATATACCCTTTCTCCATCAGACTCAGTTCCTGGCTGCTGAGGGTTATATGAAAGCACTTGCAATTGGGACCAGTGCTGTTCAGGGAAGTCCTTTTTGGGCAAGGAGGAGACACATAAAGCCAGAGGGACACTAAGTCATACCACTCCCCTGCTCAAGAGCTCCCTGTGATTGTCTGTCACCCTTAGGGCAAGTCCAAGTTCTTCACATGGCATTGAAAGCCTTCTGTTCTCATCCCCCTTCTCCACCAGGGAAGTATGTCCCCACAAGCCAGTAGAGAGCCTGACAAGTGCATAAGCCCCAATCACAGTGTGCCACTAGGGACACAGGGCTGTAGGAGCACAGAGGCATAGTCCAGCCTGACATGTGCCCTCTCTAAATAAATAAATAAATAAATAAATAAATAAATAAATAAATAAATAAATAAACCTTAAAAAAATAAAGGGTAAAATTAAGTGATTTCTTTTTGTATCTAACTACTTTCTGTCTTTATTGCTTTCCCTATTCTGGACACTTCATATAAATGGAATCATATTATATGCAGTCTTTTGTGATTGGTTTCTTTCACTTAGCATAATGTTTAGATGTTCAGCCATGGTGTAGCACGTATCAGTATTTCATTTCTTTTGGCCAATATTTCATTTTTTTTTTTTTTTTTAAATTTTTTTTTTTCAACGTTTATTTATTTTTGGGACAGAGAGAGACAGAGCATGAACGGGGGAGGGGCAGAGAGAGAGGGAGACACAGAATCGGAAACAGGCTCCAGGCTCTGAGCCATCAGCCCAGAGCCCGACGCGGGGCTCGAACTCACAGACCGCGAGATCGTGACCTGGCTGAAGTCGGACGCTTAACCGACTGCGCCACCCAGGCGCCCCATGGCCAATATTTCATTTTATCAATATACCACATTTTGCTTACTCATTCATCAGTTGATAGACATTTGGATTGTTTCTACCTTGTAGCTATTATGAATAATACTGCTCTAAATGTTTGTGCACAAATTTTGTGTGGACATGTTTTCATTTCTCTTGGAGATACACACATACACGTACACAGAGGAGTAAAATTACTAAGTTATATGGTAACTCTTATAGTTAATCATTTGAGGAACTGCCAGACTGTTTTCCAAAGTGGCTGCCCCATTTCACATCCTGACCAGAAGTCTATGAGGATTTAGATTTCCCTACATTATCTGACTTTTTTATTCCAGATGCCCTAGTGGGTATGAAGTGGCATCTAATGTTGGTCTGATTTGCATTTCCCTGATGGCTAATGATGTTGAACATCTTTTCATATATTTATTAACCTTTCAAATATATTCCTTGGAAAAATATCTTTGTATCCTTTGCCCGTTTTTTAATTGGGTTGTTTGTCTTTTTGTTAAGTTGTAAGATCCTTTATATATTCCAAATGTAAGTCCCTTAACAGCAACTTGTATATGATTTGCAAATATTCTCTCCCGTTCCATGGGTTGTCTTCATTTTCTTTACTTTTTGCATGGAGCTATCCAGTCGTCTAACACCATTTGTTGAAAAGGCTGTTCTTCCCACCACTGAATGGTCTTGGCACCCTTGTCGAAAATCAACCAAGCATAGATACGATGGATTTATGGACGGACTCTTAATTCTGTTCCATTATTTTATATGTTTGGCTTATGCCAACACCTACCACCCTCTCTTGATTACCATTCCTAATAAGTTTTGAAATAGGAAACTAGGAGTCCTCCTACTTTATCCTTGTTCATGCTTGTTTTGGCTATGCCGGGTCCCTTGCAATTCCATACAAATTTTAGAATCCAGCTGCCAATTTCTACCAAGAAGTCAGCTGAGATTCTTATAGGGATGGCATTGAATCTGCAGATCAATTTGGGGAGTGTTACTTTACCAACTTAACAATATTAAGTCCTTTCACACAAACATGGGGTGTCTTCCTATTTGTTTACATCTACTTTAATTTCTTACAAAATGTTTTGTAGTTTTTAGAGTATAAGTTTTGGACTTCTTTTGTTTGGGAGCCTCCAGTTCATGGAGGTGCCCCAGGAGTTATCAAGTCCACAACTGAGCTCAGGCTGTGCTTTTCTGAGAAACACCTGTGAATACAGAAGTGGCCAAGTACACTGGCCAAACCCCTCTTGGGGGGTCCTATCTGTTATCCCTCATCCATGGCTTGGTGTTGCCTACCCCCACCCCTGGCACTGGCCTCTAGGGTTCCTCAGTGCTGGCCATCTATGAACCCTTGCTAGCCAGAAGGTCCTGAAGGTTCCTTAATGGTGCCATTCGGACAGACACAAACTCTCCCTAGGTCTGTAACTACTACCTTTGATGCTGTTTGGAATAGAGAAGGTTAACTCCCCTCATTTTGATATACCCTGGTGAGGGTCATTGCTGACCTGCTTGAGCATAGGATCTCAGCTCAGTGAGAGGATTCTTCCATCGTTGCAGGTACCTTTACTGCCCCCTGTGGGTGGGATGTCATGTCAGAACCATGGTGGGTCCAGAACCATGCCCTCTAACTTCGTCCCAGGCCCAACTGCTAGGCCAGCTCCAAGAGGCTCCTCTCTCCATGACCTGAGATCAGGCCTCTAAGAACACTCCACCCCTGGGGCGCCTGGGTGGTGCAGTCGGTTAAGCGTCCGACTTCAGCCAGGTCACGATCTCGCGGTCCGTGAGTTCGAGCCCCGCGTCAGGCTCTGGGCTGATGGCTCAGAGCCTGGAGCCTGTTTCCGATTCTGTGTCTCCCTCTCTCTCTGCCCCTCCCCCGTTCATGCTCTGTCTCTCTCTGTCCCAAAAATAAATAAACGTTGAAAAAAAAAATTAAAAAAAAAAAAAGAACACTCCACCCCTGAGGCACCTGGGTGGCTCAGTCAGTTAAATGTCCAAATTTGGGTCAGGTCATTCTCTCAAGGTTTGTGAGTTTGAGCCCTGCATTGGGCTCTCCGCTGTCAGCACAGAGCCCGCTTCGGATCCTCTCTGCCCCTCCCCAGCTTGCACACACACTCCCTCCCTCTCTCTAAAGTAAATAAACATTTTTAAAAATCTTTTTTTAAAAAAAAGAACACTCCACCCACTTGTCAGACATGTCTACTTATGGCTAAAGCCCAGTAGTGGACCAGATGACACTTGTCTTCTCCCACAAAAAGAGGAAGCTGGGTGACTCAGGACAGGAGCCACTCGGTGCTACACATCAGAATCACAGATCCTTAACCCTAAGATAAGGTTGCATCAAGGACATCTGGCTGACCCAGCTACCCATTCATCATCCCCCATGCCCCATGTGAACTCTGAATGGAGCACCTCTCTACTGAGGCACCTGGCCTGGCACAACTGCTCCCTATAGGGACAGGTGAAAGGTTGTTTCTTTTTTCAGGGAGAGATGGCAGGAGTGGAGCCAGCTGTTGGCAGGACCACACCTTAAAGCCCACATAGAACCAGCCAAGTTGCTGCACAGCTGGGTAGAAGAATCTATATGTGACTGGCACCCAGACCTAGCAGGTGGATTCACAGTCCTATCTGCCTTCTCTACCACCCCCTTCCCTTGTCCTCCCTCCCCCAGTTTGGCCCTTGCTTTGAGTGACACATGCTTAGTGCATTCAGGTAAACTAACCTTGTCAGGTCCTAGGCAGAAGAAACAAGTGGCTCTGCCGCCTCCCTCAAATAGGGCTCCATACTCCTAATGATGCGGCCATGCACAGCCCACAGGGGAGGCTGGCAGAGTGAGGAAATGAGGAGGTGAATGTGGTCCAGAAAGAGGGATGTACGTGGTCCAGACCAGATGGAGCCACTGGTAGTCACTACTTCCTTGGTTCTGCCTTCCCTGTCCTCCCATCTCTGCTCTCTTGAAACCCACACTGATGGTGAACTCTCCACTAATGTTGTTAAAGAAAATATAGAAAATACAGAAAAATTAAAGAAAAAAAGAGAAAAAAATCAAGATCATTAATGACTCTGCAACTCAGAGGCAACCACTGACACTATTTTGACATTAATCCTTCCTGTTTCTTTAGACAGCTTTGGAGTGCACTCTCCATGGCTAATCTGCTCGTATTCAATATACAATTCCAAATTCTGCCTTTTTCCAGTTATTAAACCACAGCAGCCTTTTCCCAAGTACTGATGACAAGAGCTGACATAATGGGTTTCCCCTGTTTTAAGTAATTTCCCTGTGTTAGCCCATTTAACTCTCACTGCAACTGTATGAGTTAAGTACTGTTATTATGTACTGTTATTATGCTGATTTTACAGGAGTAACTCAGGTTCAGAGAAGGTAAGTGACTTTCCCAAGGTCACACAGCTCATGATGGGTAGGGCTGGGATTCAAACCCAGCAGCCTGGCTCAGAACCACCACACTAAGCCATCTGCCTAAGCCATATTGAGTCTTACAGAACATGTCATTACTGACTGTGTAGCATATATTATATAATGTAGATGCAACGTCCCTTATTCACCTATCCCTTCTGGTCATGTTGGAGTAAGACTGTTGTCAACAAGGCTATAGGACGCTCATCACAAAAACAATTTTTTGTGTATTTTGGATGGTCTCCCAGAACAAATTTCTCGGTCAAAGGATGAGGCGGTTTTAAGTTTCTTGCTCCATGTTGTTCAATGATGTTAGGAAAGTCTGTGAGTAACATGCCTGCCACCAGAGCATGAAGGCACCTACTTTGTCAAAAGTAAAGTTGTAACAGGGAGGGAACTTTGATGTGTTAACCAAGACCCCAGGATGCAGTAGACATGGAAGTCCCCAAGCCACAGCAGCACATGAGAATTTTAGACCATAGAAAATGGTCTGAGAACCATTTCTGCAATTCCCAGGCCCCTTGGCCATTCAAGGCTTGAAAAAAGAAAGTTTGGGGGCACCTGGGTGGCTTAGTCAGTTAAGCATCTGACTCTTGAATTTGGCACAGGTCATGATCCCAGGGTCATGGGATCGAGCCCCATACCAGGCTCCATGTTGAGCATAGAGACTGCTTGGGATTCTCTCTCTCTCTCTCTCTCTCTCTCTCTCTCTCTCTCTCTCTCTCTCAAAAATAAATCTTTAAAAAAATGTTTGGAGGTGGGGGATTTAGGAGAGAGATTTTCTCTGGAGAGAGCTGTTACCTCCCTGTGAATCCTCATCCCACTTCCTTCCTCTCAAGCTGTGGGGCTCCTTTTCGGGAGACCATGGAGGAGGGCGAGAAGTGCTGCCCACCATGGGGAAGTTCAGCCAACTGGAGCTTGACTCCATCAGCTTGTGACCACAGTGGGTAGGGTAGTGGGGCTGCAATGGGAGGGGCCATGCCTCTCCTGGAGTGGGGCAAGGGGTGTCAGAGGGTTGCCCACAAAGACCCTGCAGGATTGGAGGTCACCTCTGGCCTGTCTCAGGCCTCTTTCTTAGAGGGGCATAGAGCCTGGGAAGAAATGCTGGGCAGAAAATGCCACACTCTGGAGACTGAGGAAGGATCACAGGGTAGGAACTGGGGGACAGGTATCCCAAGGAAGGGACATCTCTGATGAACCCACAAAATTGGCCATGAGAGAAGGAGTAAGCTTTAACCATCTGCCAGGCCTCCAGAGCAGGAGGCCATGGGTCAAGGAAGAATGGCACTGTTCCCCTACCTTTCCCTCTCTGCTCATTCCACCCTGCTGAGCAGAGGCATCACAGAAGCCCATCAGACCCCTGTTCTCAAAGGACTCCAGGCTTCGATGGGAGATTGGAAAGGGAACAGTCTTAACTGTGAATTAAGATGAAATTCCACCTTCCTCCTGTCCCCACCCCCTGTTCCAGGCCCAGGTGCTTCCAGATCTGGCTGCCCCAACAGGACCTTGAGCCTGTGAGGTCAGCGACCATGCAGGAACAACCCCCCAACCCCCCACCCCGCCACCAGGGACTTTTGATTCTTGGCACAGAGCCTGCCACTTCATGATGGTCCTGGCTGAGAGCCGGGATGTGTGAGGAAGGGTGAAGCATTGCCTATTAAAAGAGACTGGGCAAAACAAAGGGGAGCAGGGAGGCCTGAGACCCTTAAATCCACAGTGAATACACCTAGGGATTGAGGGGCCTTGTAACCAGGTCCTCTGCTGCAATCTTAGCACCTACTGTGCACTCAGAGCTTGACTCACACTGCAGCTGTAAGCCTATTGCACAGACGAACACATCAGGCAGAGATTGCAGACTGGTCAGTTTTTTGAAGAGCCAAGACTATCTATCATGTGCTGTCACTCCAAGGCAGACAATCAAGGCTGTGGGCTGGCCAGAGGGCTGGTCACAATTTCTTCTGCCCCTGCACCTGCTGATGGGATTTAGGGAAGATAAAAGTGGGACTTCCCAGTGCTCACTGGACACTGCAGACACAGCTACCAACTGGTACCCACAGTGTGGATGTCACCCCAGCCTGTGGCAGGAGCTGGCTGGCCAGACATGAGTTGGATTCTATACCTGAGCCTCACCCTTTGCCTGATGGTGCAGACAGCCCTGGGTAAGCCCCAACTCCATCCTGAGGGTGTCAGGCAAGAGGGACATGAGAGACACAGGGGCAGGCCCTCAGCTCGACCTCTCCTGGTGCAGTGGGGCAAGGGCATTTCAACAAGGTCTGGGCGGATGGGGGGGTTGTTTCGGGCACTGATCCTCCCATCAGCTAAGAGTCTAGACATTTATGTTTATATGTTAAAATATATTTTATAATTTACATAATATTATGTATTTATAATTTATTAATTTATATTTGTATTCCTTATAAAATTAATATTATATAAAATTACTACTATATTAGTATATACATTAGTGTGTATGTATATGTTACCACCAACCAGACTGAGATCTAGAACATTTCCAGCACCCCACATGCTCCTTCCCAATCAATACCCTCAAAGTAGCCACTATTCTGACCTCTATCACAAATTAGTTTTGCCTATATAAGTGCATTTAAATTTTTTTAAATGTTTTATTTATCTTTAAGACAGAGACAGAGTGCGAGCAGCGGAAGGGCAGAGAGAGAGGGAGACACAGAATCTGAAGCAGGCTCCAGATCCTGAACTGTCAGCACAGAGCCCAATCTGGGGCTTAAACTTATGAACCACAAGATCATGACCTGAGCCAAAGTCATACGCCTAACCGACTGAG